CTATAATTAGTATCATAGTTGACTTGTGAACACATGATACTTATTAATTTTTAAAGTTCACTAATTCTTATTAATTTTGAGTCTTACGTACCGGTGATTTTTTAATCTTTGTTAATCGAAAATTTTTAGTTGAAATATATTTTTTATTTACCTAATATATTATATCCATGCTTAATATTTTAAACTTTCTATGTTTGTGTTTAAAAATGTGCTAGATAAATATTCAAAAATTAAAATAAAATGTATCAATCAATCTACAAATTTAATATATGAGTAACTAAATGTATGTAAAATAAGTCATCCAATAAAACTTCTAAAAGGTAATATCCATAGTTTATTAACATCCAAAAGAGCCTCTAATTAACTAGTAAATAACATTCATAGTTCATAATATAAATAACTTCTAAGAAGTAATAAAAATATATCAAACTAAATATTAATTTTTATACCATAAAAAAGTCAACATCTCTTTCTAACAAATCAATGCGGCCTTATATATGTTTTTTTCATTGAGAATTTGTTGGAGAATGATTAATTAATTGTATACTTCCTTAATCAAACACTTAAAGTTGAATGTTAAATATTAGAAGTATAAATTATATTTAAAATATTTATAATCAATTCAAATTTAAAGTATTATCAAGGAAGCTTGATATATAGTCAATTCTGACTCTTTACCCTTATAAATTTATAAAGAAAAATAATGATATGTATCATTATTTCAAACCTTTTTTTTTTTTTTCTATTTTCTTATTTTGTTCAACCATTTATTATTTCAATTTAGTAACTTGTTTTAAAACAAAAATTTAATCAAATCAATACAAATAAATACATAAATAAAATTGAAAATCATACTAATATTCAACAACACAATTTATTAGTTTTCTTCAAAACTCAAATCCACAATAAAATATTAATTATACAAATAGTTGACAACAAGCAAAGAGCCACGCAAAGTCCAAGGGAATCACCAAAGTGTGCCTAAAATTTTGCAAATTGATGAAATTGACTTCAAATTAGATCACAATAATAATATATAAAAAAATCTTTTTTATACACGTATTGTACTTTTTGGAAATCCAAAGAAGCTAAAGCGTAACCTAGGAGCAACGACTTTGGTTTAACAGAGTACGAACCATTCTTCAATATCATTTTCACAGTTAGGCTAATATAAGCAAAGAGTCTCATAATGCAGGAGAAATGAGTTTCTATCTGGGCTTAATATAAACAAATATTTTCATAGTAATAGGCTAATATAAGCAGAGTCTCATGCTCTTATAGCATGGCTATTACATGGTTAATTTTTCCTAGTTGTGTTTCAGATCTACCTGTCCATCCTATTCTCTCTATATGTCTTTTCTGTTACTAAAAGGTTAGTATCCTACAACAATTTAGTTACAAAAATAAAGTTAATAATAGCCATAGCGTTTATACTTTCGTATGCAAAATAGGATTTATCCGAGCCCAAGAAATGACTTAGACAAGAAGAATGTTGAGGCAATTTATGCCATGAGAAACCTATGTCGAGATCAAGTTTAATTTGATCCCATGTGAAGGTTCCAAAGGAGCACAACCCAAACAGCTAGCATTTTGTTTCTAGATAGTGAGGTAGACAATGAATTTGAAGATGGGGACATGGACCAACTAAGAAAGTAAGGAACATTCCCCCCTTACTACAACCAATGTAGGATCAAACTTCTTAAGAATACTATTAAATTAGATTTCTCTACCGATCAATGATGTCTCCCAAGATAATATTTCAAGAAAGATAAACCTAAAATTAGAAAGCAAAACTGATAGAATAGGACAAAAAAAATAGTATTTATTTTAATGAGTAGCATCTGATTTGTATACAAGAGAGAGAGAGAGAGAAAACATAAAATAATATAAAATTATGATTCCCTGATTATCCGCATGCTAATCCTTATTCAAGAGTAGTTTTTATTCTTATTTAGTCATGATAATTAATTTATGTATGGTTTCAAAATTCAATTGACTTCAAATTTGATCTACTATATATGAAAATTTTTTCATTATCCAAATATTTATTATCAGTCCAACAAGAGTCGTCACCCATGAAATCTATGAAGTAAACTAAAGTTATTAATTTGAGCCTCATTCGTTAGCCCGATTAACTCAAAAATAAGGCCAGATTTAGTTTTTTTAGTTTTAAAAGAGTGATCTAAATATAATTAAATTATTCTGGTCTAACCTACTAAGTTTGACAGATCAAATGGGTCCAAATTGAACTAGTTTATAAGCTAACGAGTTGATGCGTTAAATTAATAAATGAAATAATCTGAATTATCCTCAATCTATGAATCTGTAGTGTATATAAAATAATAGAATAAAATAAAATATATTGATAGTAATAGTTTTTCACTCTTTTGTGTTCATTTATATAATTGTGTTTATAAACTTAGAGTTAGAATTAGTTACTATAAGACTTTTGTCCTCCTATGGGGTCTTTGATGACTTGTGACTCGTCATCTCTATTTCATTTGTTGAAGAATACAAAGATGCAATCACGCTTGTGTCATGTTCATGGAGTCATGATAAAAGTAAGAGTAAGGATATTAATGACGAAACTAAGATACTAAAAAGGTTAAGAAAACAAAGTCTAATACCTTTGAAGTATGAAATTATTATGAAAAGGTCGGTCTAGTTGATGAAGTGGATAAATGTAAATGCAATGGATGTGAAAAATTGTATACAAGTTATTATATGTTTCATGACATATATAATATCAATATTTAATCATATTATAATATTTATTTTTATTACAAAAAATAGATTTAATTTTTTAAAAAAAATAATTAGGCCAATATGTCCCAATGACCCAACATGGACCAAGTTGGTCCAAAAAATAATAGTCCAAAAAATATAAATCAAGTAAATTTAATCTAATATAATATTTAACTCATGTAAGTCAGGTTGGATCATACCAACTCGCCTTATTTAACATTTCTAAAGTAAACCCTAACCTCTATTTTTTATGATTTATTATCTAAAAGAACTATTTAGTAAGTGTCACTCCAATCAACATAGCCGTCCAAACCTAAAACTACATAAATCTTTGAAGTTAAAATCCCTCCATTTTTGTGCTATATCCATTCTTTTTAGTGTAAACTTGATAATACATGCAATTTCCTAATTCCATGTCAATTAACATGAAAATGATGCATGATTAAAGCTTCTAATTGAAATCATCTTTTACTATAAATTTTTACATAGTATCATCTTTGTCTTTAATAATTAATATGATAATTTTTCACGTACCGTACTCAGATGTATAATATCAGACAACCATATTCTCAACCAAAAATAGTCATATATCTCAATATTCATCATTGTTTCTTTCTTTAGTGAGTATGATGTTATGGATTAGATTTTTAAAAAATTTAAATTGAATTGATGTAATTTATTTTATAAAAATGAGTTGGTTTAATTTTTTTAAAAATATAAAACAATTTTTTTAAAAAATTGAATCATCTTAGTGTGATACGATTATATACTTTATTCTCATATATGAATCAATATTTTTTTAAAATATTGAATTAATCCACTTTTACAAAAATTAATTGGATAATCAAACCAATTTTTTGAAGTGGATGTTGATTTGAGTTTTTTCTTAAAATGAATCAATTTTTTTAATATGAGTTGGATTAATTATAAAATAATTCATATCAATTTAATTTTTTTTTACATCTTTATCAATCAACAAGTCATATAACACAATTTTTTTTATCATAAACACATTATAATGATAAAATTATGAAAATAAAATCAATTCATCCCATTTTATTGAATCTTTTAGATCTCATCTCATTAATAAGCTAATTGCATCCGCATCCCATATTTAATAATATATAACTCACTAATTACCTAGAGTTTTAAGTTTACGTAAACACTTTTGTCAAAAAAAAATTTAAAAAAAAGTGCGTAGAAACTTAACTTATAATTTGCTAGCTAAATTTAAGTATACCTTAAGTCTTATAGATATTATATATTCATCCTTTTCTTAAAAGTTTTTTTTTTTCTTTTAAGATACACCTAATTATTGAAATCATATGCTCTGATTAAAAATATTAGGAGAGTCGGAGTATTTTAAAACTATGTTATATTTATATCATCCTTTAACTTTTCCTCTTAAATTTTACATCCTCTAATTTATAACTTAGATCATTACCTCCCGAGTACGTACCATTAACAAATTATTCCCTCCTAAACTAAAGAGATCATTAAGTCAAAATGAATCAAATTATCTAAAATTTATTTGATTAATACCTTGCTTAACTGGCTTTACAAAACCTTTAACTGGTCATTTTAGTTAGTTTATTTTTCTCTTGCCAATTAAATCACTCTTCTCACTCATTTTACTCCAAAAACTGTGGTTAATTGTTGGTTAGTTTACGGTCAAGTTAAATTTGTTTTAATTACTTGAATTCAAAGTCTCGATTTTTTTTTTTTTTGACTCACCAAGTCTAAAACTACTTGGTCCACTTCATTCTAAAATTTCCTACACCTAAATTAAACCTAATTATTATGCATAATTTATATACATATGTTATGCGATATTAATTAATTTCATGTATTGAGGAGAAAGAAGGGCATCACCATTGTAGAATTATGCAATATACTATTTTAAATTCAAATAATTAGAATTTGAGAATTTGACTAAATACTAGTATTTCTTATAAAGTAATTTGACTATATATATAGAGAGAGAGAGAAGAATTTTTAAATTATTGCCTTGTTACAGAATATTTTCTATGATAAGTTTATTAATTTTAATAATTATTACTTAAAGTTTTGATAAATGTAATTACTCCTATAAAAAAAAGTAACAATAATTTATTATTAATTAATGGTGTAAAATTATTTATACTTACTAGTTGACCGTTGAATCTCTTAAACTTTTTAGTTTTTAGAGAAGACAGTCTTCGGAAAAATCTATATAAATGTTTTTTTTTTGTTTTTTATAACTGAAAGACATTGAAGGTATATTTAAGTAAAATTCTGAAAATAAATGATTATTGGAGTAAAGTAGAAGTAAAGCCGGTGAAAGGAGAAGAGAAGGTGCAGGTGAGGGCGCATCGGTGACAGCATGGAAAACGACGACGTTGATATGCTCGGTGATGACAACAACGAAGCTGTGTGTAACGCTTTTGCAATTTATTTGTTCTTCATTTTTTTTTCTTTTCATGAAATGCCCTAATTGGCATTTGCATGCAGGAATTGGATGATATGAAGAAGCGCTTGAAGGAAATGGAAGACGAAGCCGCTGCTTTGCGGGAAATGCAGGCCAAGGTCGAGAAGGAGATGGGATCTGTGCAAGGTGCCTCCTTTTTTTGCTTTGATTCGTTTATTAGTTTTGTGCTTATTTCAATTCTGTTAATTTATTTATATAATATTTGTGAAGTGAAATGATCTGGGTTTGATATGGGTGCTCTATGTGGGAATTAGCTTTTGCATTGTTGATATGTACCCTAATTCTTCCAATTAGTGGTTTTTAAGTTAATAACCTAGAACAATTAGGATTTGGTGTGTTGTTTGGTAATGCATTGTGCGTTGTGCAATTGATTCGCTTGTGGAAGACTGAAGAGTTTACCTAGAGGTTGAGAATGACGCCCTAACTTGGTGGTGATTCTGGTGAATGACGACACAAGATATTTTGTTGCACTCTAGATTTTAGTGTTATAAAGTGATGCTGGCTGAAAATTTGTAAGCTTTTGTTTTAAACTTTGAAGGAGTTCTTGGTTAATGCATGGATTATTCGGTTTTGAGAAGTACTTGGGGGTGCTTGACTGCCCTCAGTGCTGCTTAATCGAATAATCCTGATGCATTTCCCATATTATATTGCTATAACAAGGCTCTTGCATTTCTCATCGGGGGATGCATAGCAGGATGCTCCCCATCTTGTGAATGTGAGAGACATAAGTGATACCCCGAGTGTCTCCCCACGTGTCTCTTTCATTTGACACTTTTTCTGAAACTGTTTTTTTTTCTTTTCAAAAACAATAAAAAAAATTAATGATTTCATTTGTTTTGTTTTGTTTTGTTTTTATCTGTCTTTTTCCCAGTGATTTATCTTCTTCTCCTTGCACTTGGACATGGTGTGACTACTGTACTTTTGTAGTGTTCATGACATTTCATTACAATTGGTTTTTGGACTCTTGTTTCTGTTATTGATTCTAGTCTCCAAATAGATACTGCTACCGCTGCTGCAACTCAGAACAATAAAGAGGAAGTAGATGCTCGATCAGTTTTTGTAGGCAATGTGAGCCGTCTCTTCTCCTGTTTACATTAAAAAAATTTATTTTGGTTATTTAATTGTCTAATTGTCATATTTCCTAATATTGGCTCTGTGTATCACACTATCACTAAGATTAACTTTATATTTTGCCTGAAAGTAATTATTAATTCAATAATGAGCTGATGTGTATGTGTGTTAGCTACTTTTGGAAACAAAATGGAGGATTTGTTATGTCGCAAACATATGCCTTTATGATTTGTTTACAATAATTATAGAGCAGTTTTGGGCTTAATCTTCTTACTATTAATCTTGAGGCCCTGGCATTTTGTCATTATACATAATTTGGACTTGGAGATCATTGAACCTTAATGTTTTGTCAAACATATTTCATGATTTGAGATGATGCACATGTGTGTTTGTGTGCATGAAAATGACATTGTAAGAATAATACAATATGATAGAACTCCTAAAACAATAAGTGGTCTCTGTTTTTTCCGACGAAGTGACAATATATTTCCAGCAGCAAGAGCATGAAGCCTTTTATCCTAAGTCCTAACACTCATATTGGACAGCATTTGGCATGTTTCTCGCTGTTGTTTACTGCTTTTGTGAGGTTTCACTTTTGGTCAGCAAGTTGATTTTTTGCTTAGTTAGTGCTTTTGTTGTTTGTGGGTCTTGTTTCATTCATGATTGTAACTGTGATATTAGTGATTTTGAGGGCTCCTTGACTGCAGATTTGAAATGCAATATAAAACATGATATGATGTAAAGGATATTTACTTATAGACAAGGATAAGGAGGGAAGGAAAAGCAAGAGGACTGGAAAGTTGTTGATTAAATATATATGTCCATTAAAAGGCTGAAGATTTTTTTTATTTTTATTGTTTGATTATTTTGACTAAACTAAACTAATTTTAAGGGTCACTTCGTTGCAAAGATTTTCTGTTCAAATAAACAGTGAATCAGCTGGTTGCTTACCATTTCAGTATCCTTGTTAGTTTGATAACAAAATCCATATTGCAGCATTTGGGATCCCAAGATTATGTAGGATGAGTTAATTATTGATGGCATAAAGACTGTGTATAGAAATTTATGGAATGAGATAAAACTAATAAACTCTCTCATGGTCAACTCAAATTTATTGTTTTTTGTTTGCTAAACTACATTAATTTGATTTTGTAACCTTACAAATTCGATTCTTACTCCAGTGCATTTGACTTTTGTTGTATAATGATTTAGATACTATGTTTTACCTGACTCATGTTCAACCTCAACATATTAAAAAATTTACTAAATACAGCTACTCTCAAATTTAATATTGAGTTTTCTCTTGTATCTCTTATTTCTAGCTCTTGAAGAGCATGGACCAAGCCTTAGAAAAATGTCTTCTCATTACTTTTTCTTTTGCCCAATATGCTATGATTTGTTACCTTTTAACCTCTTACTCAAATCTATGCTCACCATAGCCATCTGATGTTTTCCAATTGGCTATGTCTTTCCATTACTGACTGATGTTAAGCAACCTGAATCCCTAAATTTCTCACTTTCAGAAGATACTGCTTTCAAAATCCTAAGCTGCTCAAATTAACAAGCACTGTTGGAGCAATGAATTTTTATCCCACGAAACTATCTTCATTGCTGGTGTATAATGTTAATGCCTCACTGTTAATTGAATGATTAATGCATTAAACATTTAGCCTTCACCATACTCAGTCTTAGATATTTTGATTCTTTCAACTATTACTAATTTGAACTTTTTGATCGTGAGAACCTTCTTTGTTTAGTGTTGAATGCATTTTTTGATATTTCGGAGTTTCATTGTGATTTCAAGTGGTGGCATCCTGCTTTGGCATAATGTCTGACTACTTTCGCAGGTTATGCATTCATCCACATGCTATAAAGCCTGGATACTCCAAAAATGAAAAAGTATTGGTTTCATACCCGTATCAGACACCAATACGGCTAGGATATGCCAAAATACGTATCCAAGGAGTATCCGATTATTTTATTTATTTATTTTTTTTAAAATTATTGGATACGGCTCACAATGGCTGGATACGGCTTTATAACATGTGATACGGCTTGGATACGTTTTTTTTACCCAAATGTTCGTAAAAGTTAATATACATATTCTATAAAGACACATTTTCTCTCTGTTTTTTTACCAATATTTTATATTTACATAAAATTTTCTATTTTTTTTTAACATATCTATAACGTATCGTATCCTTAATTTAAAAAAAAAAAAAAAAAATTGTATCCCCATATCATACCCATTCATACTAAGTATCTAGGCTTCATATTCCACGAGTTTTCGAGTTTAGTAAAGCCTGCAATTGGAAGTATATGATACAGAAATAATATATAGCTGGAGAGGATTATATTAGAGATGTATGGAATTAACAAAATAGAGTGAGAAAATAAATGATACAACACAAAAAACAGGAGGGATGGACAAAAGTTCAAGAAAGTTAGCATTGGTTGTTGTGGAAAGTGATGTTCATGGAATCATATTATGGTGAACATACTTATTTTGATAGTGAAGAAGGTTAGAAAAAGAAAAGAAAAAAATACATATAAAGCTAACTATGATTTAGGGTGAAAATACAGGTCTGTAGCATAAAGTTTGTGATGGGATGGACAGAAGAATGGATTAGATTGCAGATCAAGAGCATGGATTAATACTGTTGGGAAGAGGATTGTGTAGGTAAAGGACAGCTCGTTGTATCTCCCATTTTGATTTCATGCCAAAGGAGGAGAGGACGCTTTTGGTGGTGCCTTGTGCTCAATTTCAAAAGTATATAGGTGTTATTTTCTCATGGTGAGGGGTCCTTGACATTTCTATGTTTTCTTCCTTGACAACAAGGAGTTTGTAATCAATTTTCTTTTTTACTCATGTTTTAAATAATTCACCACAAAATCTGAAAGGAAAAAGGTGGCGGGGGGAGAGAAGCTATAAAAGGGAGGACAAGTTTTCCGTGACATTGTTAATGAAACATACCCATTCATTTTGTAGTTCCCTGTTAAGTTTGTTTCCTTTATAATATCTAATTGAATTAAAATTGAAATTCAGATGTTTTCTACTTTTTAAATTGCATAGAATCCTAGGAGATTATGAAGAATACACATATAGTCTCTGAATGAAAAGGCTGGAGTGTAGTGGATGCCTAACATCAAAATTACAAATCATGTGTATAGGCAATGGCTGTATTTTGTTTGCATGGTTGTTTATTATAATTGTTGAGTGGACATTAACTTATAAATTTGTAGAACTTTCCATATTGGCATAATGTTCTTGTTGCAATGCACAATTAATCCACTGTTTTAATGAAAAGCAACAGGAAATTGATTGGCTTTACGTGTGACTTTGTCATTAATTAATCTGTTAGGATTGATATTTCCCACAGGTGGACTATGCATGTACTCCCGAAGAAGTGCAGCAGCATTTCCAATCATGTGGTACTGTAAACCGAGTCACCATTCGGACTGATAAGTTTGGCCAACCAAAGGGTTATGCCTACGTAGAGTTTCTTGAAGTAGAGGCTGTTCAAGAGGCTCTTTCGCTGAATGAATCTGAGCTACATGGGCGTCAATTGAAGGTTAGAGCAAGAGGCTCTTGCTGTTCCATAGATAACTGGCTCTCCATTTTGTAACCATCCATACTTCTATGGACTTTTTGCAGGTAACTGCTAAGAGGACCAACATACCAGGGATGAAGCAATATCGTCCTCGCCGGCCAAATCCTTACATGGGATTTCGAGGCAGACCCCCCTATGCACCTCCTTTTGCCTATGCTCCTTTTGGATATGGGTATGTTGTTCTCAGTTCTTTCCTTTCCAACGTGTTCTATTTTAGCCGTAGTAGTAGACATGTATAATGTAGAACTCTTAATAATTGCAGAAAGGTTCCAAGTTTCAGAATGGCAATGCGCTATAGCCCCTATTATTGAATATGTCCAATTGTGCTGAAACGGATCTATTGATTATTGGATGGAAGGGCATGACACCCTACTCCCTGATTTAGTGTCATGACTAATGATTTGGCCGTTCGTTCAGTATGAGGGATTTGTCTGGCCACCGATTTAGCAGCAATCCTTGTAAACCTATGTGTTTTCTTCTGCTTTGTTCTGGTATTTGATATATATATTAAGATGTTCTTTGTAAAAGTATCCTTGTTAGAAATGGTTAATATACGGGCTTTTTAGTTGCCTTTCTTTTTCCCTCAAATTGGTCATGTGCTATAGGTGCACCTCGCCTATACTATGTTAGTGTAGGCCTCAGTTTTCTGTACGAAAATCAAAGCAACGGTGGTCCTATTTCTAATCGTTGTCCTAGACTAGCCTGTCTCGTGATTCTCAAAACCGATGGTAACCCATATTGTGTATAATTATAAGAGTTAATCACCTATACATTATTAGTGTAAAAAAAATTTTTTACACTGGCAACCAATTATATCTCTTAATAGTGTCATGTCATTTATTCATTTAATCAAATAAAAGTAAAATAAAATAATTTAAAAGATATGATTGGTTGTCAGTGTAAAAAATTGTATACTAGCAGTGTAGTACATGGATGATTAATTCTAACTATAATGTCTCTAAAGTTCACAGGCAATATATCCTGAGAAAAGTTGATTTGGTACATAAGTAGTGTAATCAGAGCGTTATTAGAGTGGTCACAATTGTAATACAAATCGAAAAATTCTCGGTGTGGTTTCCAGGAAAGCGATATTTTATTTGGCTATCGACAACTGCTTTCAAATGCGACTTCTCAATAGATTTTCCTAATCCCGAAGTAATCATTTTACAATAAAATTCTTACTGATATGGAAAATTACAGAATCATACATTTTTGTCGGCTGGAATAATGGATAAAAATGAATGATACTTATTGTTAATCAATTACTTATGTCCTAACTCCTATCCCACTAACGGAGTTTTTCCGCAGAGATGTTTGGATATAGATTTTCCTATTGATCAAATTGTGAAGGAACTGACAATAATCCAAGGCTTCATGCTTCATAGTATATTGAGATTGCGTTATAATAGCCGATAGGTTACGCAAGAGAAAGGCCTGCGTAAATGCTAAATAGCCCAATGGAGTGACCTAATACTGTGAGCCTCAACACTGTGTATCAGAAGAACTTGATGGTTTACACATTAGATTGTGGTATGTGACTTCTTAAAGACAGTGAACTAATAATAAGAGTGCATCAGATATACTATGCTTATTATGGCCATTCACGCGATTAATTTCCTTCACATGTAGTATTAAATTGCAGTCACCAACTTCTCGAATATTCTCATGAAAACATCGAAAAGTGTGAAAGAACTTAATACGATGTCTAGAGGCATACATCAGTTCTGGTTACTCAATACGATGTCTAAGTATCTGCTACAGTGCTAGCAATTCTCTTTGGAGTATTTATTTTATAACACTAGAGTGCGAAAATCAAATAACCACTTATCTGTATAAATTTTAACTGCACAATATTCAATTTTCTTTCATGAATAATTTAACATACACATCCATTAGTCCGTTTTAAAATGACGACATTTGTTGAATGAGAAATTGCTTGGGATGGATGGGAAACAGAAAGAGACATAGCACGTAACTCCACTCCACCCATCAGGGTCTTCTGCCTAAGGCCTTGCCAATATCAAAGGAAAACTACCCATCTTCCAACTTTTTGTTAACAAGATAATGGCAAAAGAAGAGGTATCTCATCCCAATCCTCATGATCAGAAGGGTAGAATCTAAAGCTTATCAGAAATATAATTGCAGAAAGAGTGGACCCAGCAAAACCATCCAAACAATGACACCCCCTATAGCCTTTTATGCCTAGTGAGATTCACCCCACCTCCCAAATATCATCATGACCGATTCCTCGCCATAATGGTCTCCCAGACCCCCAACACCACAAGAAAAACCCCTCCTTTATTCCTATTTACCATAAACAAACAAAAAAGACCACCACCGCTTCATTCCCCAACCACCTCACTTTCCCCAAAGATAACACTAATAATTCACATAAATCCCACTCCCATTTCTTTCTCTTTAAAAGAAACTTATAAACCTACCTCCACACATAAAATATAAATCACATTAATGATATCCTTTTTTTTTTTGTAATCTTATTCCACGGCTTTCATATTTATATATTATATAAATTGATAACATTGCATTTCCTCTCTCTCTCTATATATATATATATATATATATATATACTCCAGCAGCAGAATTTACACGTCACACTAAACGACAAAAGCAGCTTAAAAATCCACACACTCCTCCTCAAACGAGAGTCTTGCATGTCGAAGTCTGCGGGTCCCACATCGCTGGCACCAAGAACCTCCTCCCGTTGGCGCCGTTCGCATTGTAGCTCGCCCCGGAAGCCTTATCCACAAGGACCCGACCCGGGTAACCCGGGTACGCCCCGCTCCCGAACACCCCCGTGCAAGCCGAACCCGCCTCCACCGGCGCCTCCGGGGAACCCTCGAAATAACCGTTGTTAAACGGGTTCGTAACGGTGCCAGCCAGAAGCGTCGCCAAATTAATGATCATTCCGTCCACACCGACGTCGCCGTTAGGCGCAACTAACGGCGGCGTCTGTGGGCCGTAAATGGGCTTGTGGAAGGGCCACGCGCAATACCCGGGGCATTGGGCCTCGGAGTTTCCGACCCAAACGTAAGCGGTTTGTGAACCGGTTCTGACGTTTTGGACGGAACCGTGGGTCCCGCAGCGGTTCATGCAGAATCTATCAACGGTAACGTCTTTGGCCGTTAGAACGAGCGTTATCGAGTTGACGTCTTTGAACTTTGACGCCAGCGCGAGGAGGTCTCTATCCTTGAGGTTTTTCCCAAGCGTGTAACCCGGGTTCAGATACTGTTTCCCTGGGACGAGCGTAGAGGATCCCCCCTTGTAATTATTGGTGGTTCTCCACCACGTGGCGGCAGAGGGAAGCGCCTCTTTGGGGGAGTTAAGCGAGCTTATGAAGTCGATGATTATGGAGCGTTGGATGGGAGTGAAGGAACCGTACCAGACTAGATTAACGGTGATGCGCCCCTTGAGGAGCGGGCCGTTGTGGTACTTGAGCACCAGCGGCTGCTCCTCTACGAGTGCCCCTACGGTTAGCAAGGGGAGGAGCAGCAGCAGCAGCGCAGAGAGGGCGAGGGCAAGGGCAGTTTTGTAATTAGAGGCCATGTTGGATTAGATTGAGAAGTTGAGAAGTGTATGGATTGGAGAGAGATTGGAGGGCTACTGTATTTATATACCTGTGAGAGGGGACAGCTGTGGCCAAGGATGTGTCTACATCCTAGGATTCCACGTGCCCAATTTTCATTGCCTCCCATTGTGCCAGCCTGTCAAGGTTTGAACCGGGATGACGCCGACTTTTTACCATTTTTTAAATCATTAAACAACTTACTGTTTCTATTCATGCATTTCATAGGTGCTTACCGTAATAATGAGCTCCAGTACTTTTTTTTAAATATATTATAAAATTAAAATTATATGAAGATCTTTAACGAGTTTATAAGTTTTAATAATAATAAATAAAAGAATTTTTTTTCTAAAAATTATTTTCAACAAAATAATAATCATATTTCATCTGTAAGATGAAGACATCAATGAAATATATAATTTGACTCTTTGTTAATTTATTTTACGTTATCAAGGCTATTGGGAAAAACCCAAGTCCCACATCGACTAGAGATTAGGCAATTGAATAGTATATAAGTGGAAAGCAACCCTTACCATACAAGCCGGTTTTGTAGAGTTGAGTTAGGCTTAATCCACTATTCTAACATGGTATCAGAGCCATTTAGATCCACTTTAAATGGGCCACCCACCATTGATGCATGTGCCATAGGCATGAGGGAGTGTATTGGGAAAAAACCCAAATCCCGCCTATCCTAGATCATTAAAAAGGGTCACCCACCATTTATCCACGTACCAAGCCCAATAGTGCTGGACGTGAGGGGGTGTATTGGGAAAAACCCAAGTCTCACATCGACTAGAGATTAGGCAATTGAATAGTATATAAGTGGAAAACAACCCTCACCTTACAAGCCGGTTTTGTAGGGTTGAGTTAGGCTTAATCCACTATTCTAAGAAAGGCAGATTATTATTAAGAACATTAAACATTAAGTCAAATTATTATTAAGAGCATTAAATACTTTATTTTATAACAAATTAAATGAAACAACTTTCATGAAGATACTAAAGATTGTAAGAAATGTATAGTCAATCCTTGGGCTAGGGAAGAGAAAGGAAAATCTCAAAAATTACGAAAAAATAGACGGGAACTTTGAACATGCTACATTGCTCTGATTTAATCATTGTTTTCACTCTACCTAACGAAATGATGATAAGTAGCTACCAAGATCAGATAAGAGATTAACATTTTCATGCAATGCATTAAATGATTGCAATAACGACTAATTTACTATCTCTTTGTGGTCTCGAAGTGAAGACAGGCGAAACATCTTGAGAAGATTGTTCAATTGTTATTTTCTTCCAAGCTATTACATAAAGGATTCTCATTTAAGACAAAAATGGAGAGCAAGGGAAATAATATAAAAGAAACCAAGTTCATATCTTGTAGATAAATTCTGTCTTGTACATTTTATTTGTGCTTAATTTTCATAGCATCACGTCTAGAAGAAATGAAACTATCTTTATAATTCTTTTTAAATTTCTATTTGTAAGGGTTAAACCTGAAGAAGTTTGTAGTTAAAAGAATACTTGGTTATTAGAGAGGCTTAATCGTTAACGAATACTTTGAATTGTTTGCTTGGAGAGACAAGTAAAAGACTACTTGGATTTTGAGCCAAAATTTGTTTGACAAAAAAATACTTGTATCTTGTGAAAGATAATGGAATTCAATCGGGTTAGTTTGAAAACTATATCTAATCTTTGTATTTGAGACGAATCAGTATAAAAAGACTTGTACCCCTTCATTCTTTACATTTTAGTCTATCAAGTTTTTTACTTTCAAAAGTGCGGATTTTTTTATTTATGTTCTTTAACCCCACTTCTAATATTTTTTTCTCTCTAACATATATTAATATTTTAATTACTTAAAACGTTTTATTTGACTAATGTATTAATTTATGGAATAATTTTTAATTTTACTAATGCAGTCAAAATGTAGCTACAAGTATTAAGACGTAATTTATTATTATTATTATTATTATTATTATTATTATTATTATTATTATTATTATTATTATTATTATTATTGTTGTTGTTGTTATTATTATTATTATTATATTATAGTTATTATTGTTTATTATTATTATTATTTTTATTATTATTATTGTTGTTGTTATTGTTATTAGAAAATAAATACTTTATGTTTCTATGGATTTTTTAAAAAAATTAGGATTAAATATATTTTTAGTCTCTACAAAATGATTATATTTGATTTAGGTCTTTGTAAATTTATTTTTTGTTTTTTATTTCTCTAAGTTTTAAAAAAATTATAATCTTTACTATTATGTAATAATTTTAACTACTTATTTGTTTATTGAAAAATTAAGTGATCATTGTTACATATTAGTGATATTATGTTAATGTATGACATCTCTAATTTTTTTTTTATAAATTCTTAAAATAAATACTATTTAATTATCTTAAAATTATTGTTAGGACCAAAAATAATTATTTTTTATTTTAAAGAGATTAAAATAAAAAAAATATTTTAGGAAACTGAAACAAAAATTTATTTAGTTTATGAGGATCAAAAATGGTGTTTACAAATTTTAGAAGAATTAAAAAAAACTACAGAGATCAAAATCAAAATTCACCTATTTTACAATAACTAAAAATGTATTTAAACCTTAAAAATAATATAAAATAAAATATAAATATAATAGACATTACGATATGTAAATTAAGTAAAATATGTATAATTTGTTAAGATTAAAATAATCTTTAACAAAAATAAGATAGCTACAAAATAAGTGAATAATTATTATTGATAAAGTAGTTAATATTTTTTAATACATTTTTTCTATTTTACTCTTAAGAGATATGTTGGTAAGAAAAAATTAAAATAAAAAAAAAGTAGAGATCAAAGGGAGGCATCTCTTATGTATATTATTAAGAGATAGAAATTTGAAAATCGACTATTATTGAAGTAAAAAAAAATAATAAAATATATAAAGGTTAAAATATATTTTTAGTCTCTATAAGTTTATTGTCTTTACCATTTAATCTTTACAATTTAAAATATATATTTTTAAGTCTCTATGCTTCTCCATTTTAATACTTTTCAGTTTTTTTAAATTTTTTGTAACGTTGCCTCCATGTGAATGACGTGACGTAAGTTTATTGACTCTACATAGCAGTGATATATTTGATTTTATGGATCGTGATGTGTTATTTAATAATTTGGTAGGAAAAAATGAAGAGCATGGATATTAGATAATTTTGTCGACAATCAATATTTATTATGACATAATGTGATCCAAACAAGTAGTTAAATTATTGATGACTTCCTAATAAACCATTAAGTAACACATCATTGTCCAAAAATTAAATATATCACTATCATGTTGATTTAATAAGTACATGTCACTCACATGGAAATAACTTTATAAAAAAAAATTAATAATAAAAACTAAAAAAGATTTTAAAAAAATTATATTTTAAACTATAAATACTAAAATGTAAAATAAGTGTATGACATAATATGATCCAAATGAGTAATTAAATTATTGTGACTTCATAATAAACCATTAAGTGACAAGTAATTGTCCAAAGAATCAAATATACCACTAATATGTAGATTTAATAAGCACATGTCACTCACATAGAAATGACATTATAAAGAAATCAATAATAAGAACTAAAAAATATTTTTAAAAAAGTTTATTTTAAACTATAAATACTAAAATGTAAAATAAGTAAAAGTACAATGACTGAAAAGGTATTTCAACCATAAGTAAATAAGAGATAATGAAAAAGAAAGTAATTTATATGTAGTTATTGGAGTAAATTAGTCCAAAATTTGTGTTCATTAAAAAAAATATCTCCTTTATTAATAGTATAGATTATTTTTTATGTTTTATTTTTTTACAAAAGGTTTAGAACAAGGTAAGACACTATTCCTGGAGGGCTGAAGTCAATCACTAACTTTTTTGAAGATTTTCTTATGAGGTTAGAAATCATTTACTACCTCATCCTTGACACAAGTTTATATAGAAAAATATAAAACACAAATGAAACCAAATGTGATCTCAAGTTTTACCTAATAAAAATAAGGGAGTGAACCAATAATATCACTCTCGCAATACTTTTTAAGTTTATTAATGTTTTAATTACTAATATATTTTTATTTGACTTATATATTTCCATTTAAGAATATCTATACTTTTATACTAATATATAATAGAGAGACTATTTTACCCTTTTATTATTAAAAATAAATAAATTTCAATATTTCATTTTTAATAATTATCATTCTCTTTTAGTAACGGCCTATTCAACTATTTTTTATTTTATTTATTTTTTAAAAAATATTAAGTTTTTTTTTTCTAGCTTTTATAAAAAAGGACATATAATTTAAAAAGAAGTAAAATGTTACGGAAAAAAGCATCCAAAAACTTTTTAAAAGGTTATTAAAAAAAAAAAAAGATGGTATATTTGAAATTCAAACGCGAATGTGTATAAAGGAATTTGAATGAGCATCTTTCATAGATACTTTTATATTTTTCATTATTTTATAAAATATTAATTAACAAGAAATATTTAAAAATTAAATCATAGAAAAGATATTGAATAATTTAAACTTACAACTCACTCAAATTTTGCCAATTTTCTCAGGATGTCTTTCTCTTTTTTACCCTATACACTTTCTTTTCTAATCATTTAATATATATTTTTAAAAATTTTGAAAGTCTTTTTTGATACTTTATTTTATTAATTCAAATCAACATATATATATAAAATAATTTTATGATTATTCGTCAATTTGAATTATTGAAATGAAGTATCAAATAGTTTTTAAATTTTTTAAAAATTTGTAGACATGATTATGGATTAAGAACTTTAAATTCAATCGTTAGATTGTTCACATTTAATGTAGGACACATGTCATTGAATGAAGTAAGACTAGGTAAATTACTCTTAGAGTAAACAAATATATTATATATATATGTTTACTCTAAGAGTAATTTACCTAGCTTTCAAACAACAAAGAAGTTCTACTCAATAACGGTCATCTTATCT